TTACATTTATGACTATGTTTCAAAACTATGAGATCCCTGATGGCAGGAATGATGTGTTCTTCCCCCAGACTCCCTGATGAATGGCTGGGTAAAACACCTGGGGTGTTGCTGCCCTTCTTCCCTCTCCCAGATGTGGGACTGGTCAGAGTCCCCGAGGAGTCTGACAGGGTCCTCTTAACATTCTAATTACAATAGCTAACATTTCTGTGGCTCTCTAAAATTTTCTTCACTATTGCACTGGGAAGCAGATGGTACAACTGTTAGTACCTTCATTTTATAGAGGAAGAAACAGAGGTTAAGAGGAAATGACTAATCTACAAGTCTTGCACAGCTGGTAATTTGCAGACTCTGGATCCCTTCCACTGCATTAGAATGCTTCCCACACTGACATTTTTACAATATCCTGCACCATGTAGAGGGCAGCTGTGTGGTGCAGTGGATACAGCGCTAGACCTAGACTCAGGAAGATTCCTTTTCTTGAGTTCAAATCTGGTCTCAGATACTTACTAGCTATGGGACCCGGGGCAAGTCACTTAACCCAGCTTGCCTTAGTTTCCTCATCTGTAAAATGAGCTGGAGAAGAAAATGGCAAACCAGTATCTTTACTAAGAAAACGCCCAAAGGGGTCACGAAGAATCAGATGCAACTGATTATGTGCTATGGACTGTGCTAGTCACTTTACAGATATTATCTCATTTGAAACTCACAGTCAACTTGGTAAGTAGTGCTGTTATTATCCCCATTTTACAAATGAAGAAACTGAGGGAAACAGAGGTTATGTGACTGGCCCAGGATCACACAACTACTAAGTGCTTGAGATTCAATATGAACTCAGGTCTGTCCTGACTCCAGGCTCAGTGTTCTGTCCACCACCTCACAGACATCGGAAGCTGCAACTCAAAGACTTGTTCACTGTGCATAGGCGAGGGTTTCTGGTTTTTGTCCCAGTTCAGCCCCATGGATTTAGAATCAAAGAACATTTGGACCTTGGAGATCATCTAGCCCGACTCCCTCCTTTTACCATTGAAGAAACAGAGATCCTGAGAGATGGAGTGAGTCTTTCCTAGGGCTGCTTGGATAAGTCGCAGATGCGTGATCGGGACTTGGGTCTCCTGACTCTAAGTCTGGGGCTCTTTGTAGTCCATTTCACTTTCTTCTTGTTTTGACATTGTTTGGGACATGAAAGTCAAGTCAGTCCTCAGGTTCTTGGGGGCCAGGACTGTGAGTTAGACTTCTTATGTAGAGCAATAATGCACATAGCCCAATAAGTCTCTCCTGTTTATGCAGGACTACCATTTTACAAAGCACATTCATACTCCTTTTCTCTTGGGTCCTTAAAACAGCCCTGTGAGGGAGGCAAGATGCTACTTTATAGATGAGAAAACCGAGACCTACTGAAAGGAAGTGATATCTAATCAGTACCGGCTTTTCTACTTATTACTTGTCTGATTAAAGGAAACATCTCTGGGTCTCAGTTTCTTCATCTATAGAATACTGTTGTTGTTGTTCAGTCTGACTCTTTGTGACCTCATTTGAGATTTTCTTGGCAAGGGTACTGGAGTGGTTTGCCGTTTCCTGCTCTAGCTCATTTACAGATGAGGAAAGTGAGGCAAACAGGGTTAAGTGACTCACCTAGGGTGACATAGCTAATGTGTTGGAGGCTGGATTTGAACTCAGGTCTTCCTGACTCTTAGGCCCAGCACTCTATCTACTGCACCACCTAGTAGGACTAAATGATCTCTGAGGTCCCTTCCATCCAGCTCTACATATTATGATCTCATGGTACTCAGTAGACTCTCAGTAAGATAAGCTAGATGGTTGAAATGGCAGACTTACATTGATTTGTTCAGTAGGAAAGGCACCAATTCCCACGCGGGTGGTATAGGCCTTAACCACGCCAAATACCTCTCCCACATTCTGTGGCGGGATCCCCAACCCTGTGCATACTTCCCCGATGGTGCAGTTAGACGAGGTCACGAAGGGGTAGGTACCTGAAAGAGACAAGAGATTTCAACTAATGACATTTGAGGTGCCCCTGTTTTCCTTATGCAATTAAAAGACACTTGTTCCTTGGGAGGAAAGCTATGGCAAACCTGGACAGCATACTAAGAAGCAGAGACATCCCCTTGCTGACAAAGGTCCACGTGCTCAAAGCTGTGTCTTTTCCAGTAGTAATATTTGGCTATGAGAGTTGGACTAGAAGGAAACCTGAGGACCTCAGCATCAATGCTTTCAAAATGTGGTGTTGAGGAAGACTTTTGAGAGTCCTTTGGACATCAGGGAGATCAAATCAGTCAGTACTTAAAAAAATTAGTTCAGGCTATTCACTGGAAGGTCAAATATAGAAGCTGAAGCTTAAATACTTTGGCCACATAATGAGAAGACAGGACTCATTGGGAAAGACTCTGATGTTGGGAAAGATTGAAAGCAAAAGGAAAAGGGGATGGCAGAGGATGAGCTAGATAGATAGTGTCATGGAAGCAATTAACATGAGCTTGGACAGACTTAAGGAGATAGAGAAGGATAGAAGGGCCTGTTGTGCTACGGTCCATGGGGTTACGAAAAGTCAGACACAACTGAAGGACTGAACAACAACATAGCTGAGTAAAAGACAACTGGAGGTAAACATAGCAATATATTAAAAGTGTATTAGATAAGTACAAAACCAACAGCGATGTGAGGTCTGAGGGGTTATAGATGACTGGGGAGATCAAGGAAAGTTTTGTGGACAAAATGGTATTTTGATGTGGCCTTTAAAGTATAGAAAAGGGTGAGAGAGGATATTCTGGGCATTAACACACAAGATTTAACTACCAGTGCATTAGAGAGGTTCAAAGAAAATGCTCAGTAATGGGGTGGGGTAGGTGATTTACTGACAGATTAGAGAGTTAAAAGTGCTAAATCGAAGCCAAGAATTCTTCAGCCTAATCCACTTCTGTTCCTATAGGGGACAATGAATGGACATTCCAGCTTTCCCTTGGCTACTTCTCTCCTGAGATCCTCCACCCTCACGAAAACCTTCAGAGAGCATTACTCAGCTCTAGGGCTCCCCCACCATCACCTCTGAGCTGCAGATCAAAGAAACGGGTTCGACTTTACTCTTACCTGTCCATGACCTTGTGAAATCAGCATCCCCCTGTCCATGCCTGAATGTGATCTCGCCCTCTGTTTATTGAAACCTATCCCTGTCTCTAGCCTAGCATTCTCTAAATCATGCCAGACACTTAAGTAACTAACTGTTCCCTAGATACCAGCTATGACTTTGGGCCTGAGCTGGTTCCACTGGATTCTTAACTTACCAAAGTCAATATCGAGGAGGGCTGCATTGGCACCTTCCACAAGGATCTTCTTTGGGGGCCCATGGAGTGCTTCATATATAAAATATACTCCATCTCGTACCATGGGTCTGATTCTTTCAGCAAAGACCTGCCAGTACCAGCAGAAATGGAGATGATGAGCAACTTAGAGGAAAAAGTTCTCTCGGGGGCAGCTAGGTGGTACAGTGGATAGAGCTCTGGCTTTGGAGTGAGTAGGACCTGAGTTCAAATCTGGCCTCAGTCACTTGATATTTACTAGCTGTGTGACTCTGGGCAAGTCACTTAACCCCAATTGCCTCACGTACACACACACACACACACTCACACAAAAAGGCTCCCTCCTCCCGCCCTGACTTCTTCAAAACTCAACAATACTTTCTTCCAGCAGAAACATAGAGAAATGAGAAACCGTGACTCTAGACCTTATTGGGAGGGAGCCATTGGTATATGTGTTACCATGTTTACTTCTCTGCCTTCTTAGGATTCTAGGATTAGAACTGGGACTTAGAGAGACCACCTAATTCAAAACTCTTATTTTTAGAGACCAGAAAATAGAGGCCAATGGGTAAGAGAGAGAGTATTCAAGGTTACATGAGTAATACTGAGTCAGTCTCTTGATCGGGTCTTCTGATACTAAATCCAGCCTATTTGCTCTTAAAACAATATTGCTGTTACTGTATACAGTGTTCTCCTGGTTCTGCTCATTTTACTCCTTGTTATTTTGTGCAGATCTTTCCATCACTGAGATCACTTTTAGATCACTGAACTCATCATTTCTTTTTTTCTTCCTTTTTTTTTTTTTTGGTTAGGCAGTGGGGTTAAGTGACTTGCCCAGGGTCACACAGCTAGTAAGTGTTATGTGTCTGAGATGGGATTTGAACTCAAGTCCTTCTGAATCCAGGGCCGGTTCTCTATCCACTGTGCCACCTAGCTGCTCCTGAACTCATCATTTCTTATAGCACAGTATGTGGCTTTGGTTAAGTCACTGCTACTTTCTGGGCCTCAGTTTCCATACCTGTAAAATGATGAGCTTGGACTAGATCAGGAGTTCTTAACTGTTTGTGTGTGTGTGTGTGTGTGTGTGTGTGTGTGTGTGTGTGTGTGTGTGTGTGTGTTACGCACCTCTTTGGCAGTCTGGTGAAGCCTATGAACCGTTTTTCAGAATATTTTTTTTTAATGCATAAAATAAAATAAACAGGATTACAAAGGAAACCAATCATATTGAAATATAGTTATCAAAATATTTTAAAAACAAGTTCACAGGTCCCAGGCTAAGAAGCACTGGATTAGGTCTTTTCAATTTGAATTGAATTATTCATCCCATTTTGCTGTCACCTTTAGACAGCCCAGGCGCGGCATCTGTACCTTGAGTTTCTTCAGCTGTCCTTCTGTATCCACTTCCAAAGTAGGAAACATGGACTGGTACTGATAGGCCAGATTTTTGAACCTATAAAACAGCAGACAATGTGGTCTTTTCTCAGGTAGACTTCCAGAAGTACCCAGATGTACTGAGGAGCAGCAGCCTTTGAACTCCCCATAGCCTGGCTCTTAGAGAAGCTGACCAGAGGAGGGTAACTGCTAACCCTAAGTGTGTCCGTTCTTTCTCCTGTCTCCTGGCTTTGCGGTGTGCTTAGGGGCAAACATTCTCCGCCTTCTGTCTCCCTTCGAAGCAAATCAAAGGTTGAAGCTTCTGTCCATACCTTGCAGAAAATTCATCAAAGTCTGAAAGGAGGTCACAGATGCGAAGTCCTGTCCTCGCAGCTTTCGAAGAGTATGTTGGGCCAATTCCTTTCTTTGTGGTACCGATACTGAAACAAAGAGAGTGGGGGTCTAGTTAAGATCTGGCAGAGTCCAAAAATATGACTGAAGTATTATATACAGGTTGAGTGACTATGGGCGGGAATATTGCTCCTTCTCTCCTACCACAGGAGTCTCTTTCCTGATGGGAAAGTCCTTGTATCCCTCTCCACTCTTTGGTCCCCAATTAGTCAACCAATCCTTACCTTCTGGCATGCTATTCAATATAGAGGGTATATTTTAAAATGTCATGTCTTTGAAAAAGTCATTTCTGCTATTTGAGCCTCAGTTTCTCCATCTGTAAAAGAAGGAGGTTGGACTAAATGGTCTCTAAGGGTTCTTCCAGCTATAACATTCTAGGATTCTATGAAATATATTTCAGAAAAGTCCAGTCAATGGAATGATTGGATAAATTAAAAATCTGTGTCCCAGCTTATTTCAATATTCAGTGATCTGAAGCCAATTATCCACTTGGTGATTTATCTAGTGTAACCAGTTGATGAGAAAACAAATAAGCCACAGTGTCCAACCCAGGTCTCAGCTGCCCCTACCCTGGGGTTTGAGGGGAGACAGAGAAGAAATGGATCTGGGTTTTGTCCTTGGGGACCTTACAGGCTTGTTAGGGGATGAGGAGAACACACGACCATTTAACTGACTATAAAACAACATATAGTAACTTCCAAATGAGGGGCACAGACCTATAAGAGTTGAGGGGAGAGAGGGATGTTTGTGGGCTGGGGTGATCAGAGAGGACCGTAGGCCTTAGGAAGGAGTCAGGACTTAGGCTTGAGCTTGATAATTGGACCTATGATTGTAGTCCAGAAGAATCTAGTCTAAACCCCCTCATTTTAAAGATGAGGAAACTGAGACCGGGAAAATGAAGTGACTCACCCAAAGTTACATAGCTAGTTGGGATTAGAGTAGGGATTTGAAGCTAGGACCCCTGAGTCTGACTCTTAATTCTCTTTCTAGAACCTCATAGCAGAAGAATGCTGTGTGAGCAAAGTGCCAGCGGTCTGCCTGGAGCAGGGATCCCAGCATCCTCTCTTCTTGCTCTTTAGGCAGGCCTTGGCCCGTCTTGGGGCTGCACCAGAATTACCACAGACCAGAGGCTCCTTCCAAAAGAAAATGACTGGGCTTTGGGAGGAGATGAGCCCTGTCATGTCCCACCAAGGTGAAAGATCAGGGGGACTGCATGAGACAGACCCCGAGAAAAGGGGAAAAAATTGGGGGGCAGGAGTCAGTGCAAACTCGGTCAGAAAGCAGCCATAGAAGAAAAGAGGACAAGGAGAGGAGAAGATGGTCAGGCAGGGAAGCAGGGTATAAAGGGGGAGGGTTCCTGTTGTGAGATTTGGAGGTGGTTTGTGAATCAAAGCCAATTATTATCTTTGAATTGACTGGGAAAAACTACGTGAAGAAAAGTCCTTTTTTAGGGATAGCAACTGTAATTGTGATTTTATTGCTATAGGAGTCTCCCAGTGAGCCTTTCCCACCTACCTCCAGTGAAGGTCCTATCTATACTACTGCTAAAATTTGGGTAGAGTGAGTTAGCTAACACATTAGTAAGTAATAGAAATGCCTTTGCAGGCCATCAGAAGGCTTTACGACTGACTAATTGTGAGCTGGGCATTGTAGAATGGCCCAGAGAACTGGGTCCAGAGAACCCAGAGAAGCCTGGTGGGGGTATGTATGCTGGGAGTGAATGACATTCTCATTCTTTTGGAGGCTGCTAGATTTGGCTGCCCAGGGGAATTAGGATGAGCCTAGCATAGGCCTGGACAGCTTCAGTTAAGGGCATATGAAAAGATTAAAGGGGTAGCTAGGTGGCAGTTAGATGGAGCACTAGACCCGGAGGCAGGAAGGCTTGAGTTCAAATCTAGCCTCAGACACAAGTCACTTAACCCTGTTTGCCTCAGTTTCCTCATCTGTAAAATGAGCTGGAGAAGGAAATGGCAAACCACGTCAGTACCTTTGCCAAGAAAACCCCAAAAGGGGTCACAAGGAGTCAGACACAGCTGAACAACAGCGGAGGACTTAAAGGTCACTCAGCCTGAGAACAGGGAGCTCTTCTGTTTACGTGCTTGTAATGGTCTTTCTGTAGCCTGCTGTTTCTGAATCTATATATTCTCTAGTCCCTTGTGAATAAATCCTGGAAAACACCCTCTTAGATTCTGAAATATGTGGAGATAAAGCGGAGAAGGAAAATAAGTGAGACCAAAATGTTGGAGAAAGTGACAGAGACAGGAAGAAAAGAAAAGGTAATTAGGGTCTGGAGATGGTATATACCATTTTTAATTACTTGACTTGTGATTTAATTATTATAAGAAACTTCTTCAGAGAGGAAACTCCAGTCTATCAATGCAAATCAGCAACTTCTCTGTGATTCACAGTCTTAAAGAATTACCTAGGTCACTGGCCCGTGGTCCCATCGGCAGTGTCAGAGGTGGGATGTGACCCCAGGTCTTCCTGACTCTGAGGCCTGCTCTCCACACCACGTGGCCTGTCGTGGGTATCCCAGGATCATGGATTCAGAGCCTCCAGAGACCTCGGCACTTAGCTGCCTACTTCTCTCGTAGTACAAGACGAGGGAGCTGAGGCCCAGACAGTTTATGTAACTTACCTAAGATCAGGCAAGTAAATGAGACAGCTGGGATTCAAGCCCAGGTTCTCAGACCCCACATCAAGCGTTCTTGATCTCTGATCCCAGGGAGCCAAGTAGGCGGAGAGGTCAGCAAGCTGAGAGAATCTGGGGTCTTGGTTGGCATTCAAAGATCAGGGAAGTTTAATAGAGAGAAGTGGCCTGGAAGAGTGGAAAGAGCAGTGGCCTTGCTCTCAGTGGCTCTGAGTTCCAGTCCTGACATTGCTACCCTGTGAACTTGGTCAAATCACTTAACCCAAAGGGGTGTCAATTTTCTGGTCTCTAAAATGAAGGGATGGGGTCGGATGATGTCTGAAGTCCCTTTCAGCTCTAAATTGTATGAAATGATCTTCTGTGACTTGGTGAATAGGCCTCTTGTGAGCCTAAGGAAGGTGCAAAAGGAGAAAATGCTTGGACAGAAGGCGAGAGTCTCCTAACTGGCCTGAAGATAAGGAGTTGGAACCTCAAGGAGGCTCAGAGCCATATCCTTCAGAGAACATCACTCATCTTTCACTTTTCCATTGGTCTGGGCTTGTGTGTGTGTTGGAATGTGAAGAGCGTGGCAAAGATCCCCTCTCTCCCCAGCTAAGTTCTCTTTTGTTGTTTTTCAGTCGTTTCAGTCATGCCCAGCTCTTACTAACCCCTTTTGGGGTTTTCCTGGCAAAGATACTGGAGGGGTTTGCCATTTCCTTCTCCAGCTCGTTTTCCAGATGAGGAAAGTGAAGCAGACAGGTCTAAACGACTCACCCAGGGTCACATAGCTAGGAAGTGTTTGAAGCCAGATTTGAACTCGGGCAGATGAGTCTTCCTGACTTCAGGCCTGGTACTCTATCTACAACATCACTTCACTGCCTGAAATTCCTCCATTATTTCTTCATTCTTCTCAGTCTTTTCACATATGTTCACTTTTGATAGCTAGGTGGTGCAGTGGATAGAGTGCTAGGTCTGGAGTTAGGAGGACCTGAATTCAAATCTAGCCTCAGATGCTTTCTTTAGCTGTATGACTTTGGGCAAGTCACTTAACCTCTGTCCAGCTCAGTTTCCTCAACTGTAAAATGGAGGCAATAATAGCATCTACCTTGAAGGGTTGTTGTGAGGATCAGATGAATAATACCTGTAAAGTACTTAGCATAGTGCCTGGCACACAGTAGGTGCCTAATAAATGCTTCTTCCCTTCCCCCTTCCCTCCTTTCCCCCCTCTTACAGGAAGGGGCACAGTTTTCAGCAGGAACAGGATTGATTAGGGGAATCCTTGCTAGGCAGTGATTGGCTGGTGATCAGAACAGTGACAATTCAGGATCTTGCTCAAAGTTCATTAATTTTTTTTCCCCCCAGAACAAAAACAAAATGAAACTTAACTATGTAATTATAATGACTAAACTTGGCCCTGGAGAAGAGTGGAGAAAATTTAAACGTTCTCCCTCTGCAGAAATGAGGGACTATGGGCGTAGAATATTACATATACTGATAAATAGGATTTGTGTCTTGGTTAATTTTGCTGAGCAGCTTTTCTTTTTCTTTTTAAATCTTGGCTATAAAGAGATGGCTTTCTGAGTATTTTTAGAAATGATGGAAATATAAAAAAAGAAAGTTATCAATAAAAACAAGATTAAAACAACCTCTTTGTGATTCCTGACAGAGGTTCTCAGGCCAGTCCCGATCAGTGTTTCTCAAACTCGTTTGGGTATGGTTCACTTTGGTGCTTAAAATATATGAATTGACCCATAAATCCTAGGATGAAGAGACTAGGTTGCTGAAAGACCCCAGGAGATGAGGGAAGGAATTTTTGGAGCAAAATAGAGGTGTAACAGCCAGCTGAAAGAATATTTACATGAGACTTTCCTCATTGGTTGAGATTTATCATTCAGTGCTCCATGCCTTTGTGAGGGGTGGAGTTATAAGAGTTGAAGGAGAAGAGATCTTGGCTTTTAACTGAGAGAAAGAGAGAGACAGAGAGACATAGAGACACAGAGAGAGACAGAGGTAGAGACAGAGGGAGGGAAGGGGAGAGAGAGACTGAGACAGAGAGACAGAGTCAGAGATACACACACAGAGAGAGAGAGAGAGAGAGAGAGAGAGAGAGAGAGAGAGAGAGAGAGAGAAGATATGTAATTCTGGATTCTCTTCAGCTCCCAGAAGGGAGAGAAAGACTCTGGTAAGAAACTGTTATGTAGAGAAGCTGGTGACCTCAATCAGTCATATCCTTATCCCCAGCTTACTATACTGGGAATTTTGGCTGCAAGGGAGGTATGAACAGATAGCTCTAGAATCTCCTCTGTCTACCCTTCTCCAAAGGAGACTTTGATTCCTGCCAGGAGGAGAAGCAGGAGGTTCGGGCCAGATGATCCTACTCTGCTCTCTTTAAAAAGAGGGGGGACTGGGCTAGAATTATATCTATCTGCTCTCTTAAATATTGTTAGCGCAGGAGAAATAATTTAAAAGTTCAAGCTGTGCTCCTGATCGCTATCCCTTAATGGGGCAAGAGTGCCCTGAGCTATATATATCCAAGGCTTGACTCCTTGCCACAATGAACACATGTAGTAAAGAGCAAACAAACTCATTTATCCCAGTCAACAGCAAAACTGACATCAGAGAAAGTATACATGGGAGACTATATATTAGACAATGCACAGAGTAAATGATGCCCTCCATTGAGAGTAAGATAACTCAGCTCATCCAAGAGAGAGTCTCAGATCTCGCCCATGGGAACATTCCCTGAGGTCTCTAGTGTAGCAAGCTAAGAATAGGGACATGAGTAAGGTCACCAGTTCCTCTACATATTGACCTCTTCCCAAAAATCTTTCTCTCCCTCCAGGGACCTGAAGAGAGTCCAGAATCAGGTGTCTACTCTCTTGAAGCTGGAAGCCAGAAGACCACACAGAAGATCTCCCTTCTCTCAAGCTCTCACCAGCTCTGCCCCTCATAAAAGTACAGAGCATTGAGTGATAGATCTCCATCAATGAGGAAGTCTTATGCAAATGACCTTCGAGCCAGCCATTGGAGGAAATGAAGCCTGTTTTTCATGTGGATTGTCAGGTATAGTCATTTGTTCACACACACACACACACACACACACACACACACACACACACAATTTGATATTTAACATTAAGAGGGAAGAAAATTGCTAATAGTAGATTGTTGTATTGTGGCTGTAGCTTTTTGTTCTTGAAGAGGACCATGACATCAGGAAGATGATGCCATGACTTGCAAATGAATTGGCTTACATTGGAGAGAGCTGTGCAAAGTCACCAGCCTCACTTTCTGCTCCAGAGCTACCTGGGTCCAGCGGCCAGATATAGATCAGGATGACTGGAGATGATCCAGGCTAATAGCAGAATTTCCTGACAGAACATGTTAGAGTCATGGGAGAAGAAGGGAATGGAAAGGAATAAGCATTTATAGGCCGAGTACCCTGCAAAATCATTTGTTTTTTTTAAACAAATACATCTCATTTGAGCCTTACCATAATCCTTCGAGATAGGTGCTGCCATTATCCCTGCTTTATAGTTGAGGAAACTGAGGCAAACAGAAATAAAGTAATTTGCCTAGGGTCGCACAGCTAGTAGGTGTCTGAGGCTAGATTTGAACTCAGCAAGATGAGTCATCTGGACTCCAGACTCAGCACTCTATGCACTATGGTGCCACCTAGCTGCCCTGGACCATGGTACCAGCTACCTAATTGTTTTCTTTGCCTTAGCCTCTCCTTCCTTCAGTCCAGCTTGAACATACTACCCGAGTAATCTTCCTAGTGTGAATAGGTATTACTCCTCTACTCTAAAGCCTTCAGTAGCTTCCCATTGTCTAGCAGAGTACATAAACTTCCTAACCCTACATGTGAGGCCCTCTCCCATCTGGCTATTCCTCCATGAGTAGACGCTTGATTGGCTGAAATCCACCGGGTACCTCCCTCCCACTCTAAGTAAATAGCACTTTCCAGGACCTCTCTTTTGTACTTACCTCACTTTCTTTTGTATCCTAGATATTAGTGTTCTTTCCCCATTGTGCCCATTAACTATGTAAATATTTTGAAAGTAGGTTCTGAATTGTAAAATAATAATAATAATAATAATAATAATAACAGTGGCATTTTAGGGTGCTTTAGGGTTTACACAGTGTTTTAAAAATATGATTTGATTTTATCCTCACAACGTTAGGAGGTAAAAAACAAACAAAAAGCATTCATTAAGCACTTACTGTTTACCAGGCACTCTTCTAGATGCTTTACAAATATTATTTCATTTGACTCTTACAAAACCTCTCTGAGGTGAGTATTTTACATTTTACAAACTGAGGCAGGCAGAGGTTAAATGACCTCTCCAAGGTCACACAAATACTAAGTGCCTGAGGCTGAATTTAAACTCAGATTTTGTCCTATCCTCTGCACCACCTATCTACTTCTTATACCCCTCATGATGAACAACAAGGCCTCGCATATGGTACTTATTTGCTGAGTTTGTTGAACGAAGCATCAGGATTCCATGGGACACTAGATGGGAAATGTTGACCTGGAGAATGAAAGGAAAAAATCCTGCCTAGGAATGAGGGACCTAGAGAATACAATTAGTGCAGGCCTTATTGTGATTCATACTTCAAATAGAATGGAATTCCTCAGAGCAGAGAAGTCTTTGGGTCACATCACCCAGCCTTATGTCCCAGCCATGTCCATAGTCAGGATTAGAGATTGACAGTTGCAAGAGACAGATCCCATGAGACAGTTAGCTCCTGGAGAGCAGGGTCTATTTTCTGCCTTTCTTTGTTTCACTAGCACTTAGCATAATGCTTAGCAAATAGTAGGTGCTTAATAATTGCTTGCCAACTGACTGAATGCCTGACTGAAGGGATCTTACAGGTCACTGAATCACCTCCCCTCTCCCATTTTACTGATGAGGAAACTGAAGCCTAGAGACCTTAAATGACTTGCCCAGAGCCTAACAGCCAGTAAGTTTGAAGTAGGATTCAAACCCGGGTCTTCCTGACTCCGGTCCAGCTTTCTCTCCATCAAACCAAGCCACCTTCCCCCCCACCCTCACCCCATGCACCAACTTGCCAGACTGAAGAATCACTAACAGAAGGAAGATGTTGAGATATAATTACTTTTTCCCCTCTTGAGCCTGTCGTTGCATTTCCTGAAGTCCGTCGAACTGCTTGGTGAAAATCAAACACTGCCAAGCAAAAGGGGAGGGATGGGAGAATGGAGAAGGAGAGAAGCATTAGAAGGTGGACACCACGCCCAGCAGCATCAGTGTCAGCGTTAGGAAAGGAATGATGAAGCTTGGAGATGGGAGGCCTCTTGCTGGAGCAGAAAGGACATTTGGGAGGGGGGCGGGGAGAAGGAGGTGCCAGGGCCTGAGATTTCATGCTGGCTTCATTGCTTCCATACTATGTGACCTAATGCAAGTCACTTGACCTTTCTGGGTCTCAGTTTCTTCACCTGTAAACTAAGGATGACAGTCCTTGCCTGGTTGACCTCTAGGGGCTCTAAGAGGAGTCGTATGAAATAATGCATGGTAGAGGGAACTGGAAACAATAAAGCACTATATACACATAAGGAAAATGGGCAGGACTGAACTCTGCCCTATGAAGAAAAAGGTGGCACCAAACGCCATTGCCTTTTGGAGCAGAACAAGCCCAGTTATGGGACAGACAGATCAGGACTTTTTCCTTTGGCTGATAAGCTGAGTGTATTCCCTCCAGGAGGAATGTTACACTGTAGGAAAGGGACTGCTTACTCTTCTTCTCATTCATTTGACTCTCAGGGCAGTGTGGCCCAGTGGAAAGAACACTGGGCACTACTAGTTGGCTCTTCCACATATTAGCTAATGTGACTTTGGGCAAATAAGTTCCCTGAGTCTCAGAGCCTCTTATTGTAAAACAGAGATAATACTTGTACAGTTTACCCTCTAGAGGTATTGTGAGGAAAGTACTTTATAAACCCTAAAGCTCAGTAGAGATGGGAAGGAACTATTCCGGTTTGTCTGGTGGGGCTCTCTGGAAAGGTGGGAGTACTCACCAATGTGGGCTCTGTCTGAAATGATGAGTCTTTTTTCCCAGTCTTTCAGACCTGCCAAAGACAGAACCCCATAGCTCAGAGCTTGTGATACTTTAATTATGGTGAAAGAATAGAAGAAAATGACTTTCTTTTTCGCTAGATCTCCCTGCTCTGACTCTCCTGGTAACGTGTACCTTTGTGTAGGATGGTCTAAAACATCACTGAAAAATTATTTCTGTGCAGGCATATCCTGTAATTCTGTCATGTGTTCATGATAGCTTCAATGTATCTTGACCTGTACCAGTGTTTTTAAACTTTTGGGGCTCAGGACCTCTTTACATTTTAAAAAATTAATGAGGATTCCAAAGAGCTTTTGTTTATGTTAGGTATATCTATCAATATTTTCTATATTATCAAGGAAAACAAAATTTTAAAATACTTATTAATTCATTTAAAAATAACAATATGTGGTATATGATTGTAATAGAATGCTGTTGTGCTGTAAGAAATGATGAACAGGATGATTTCACAAAAACTTAGGCTTACTTAAACTGATGCAAAGTGAAATAAGCAGAACCAGGAGAACATCGTACACAGTAACAGCAACATTGTATAATTATCAACTATGAACGACTCAGCTATTCTCAGCAATATAATGATCTAAGGCAACTCCAAAGAACTCATGATGAAAAATTCTATTCACCTCCAGAGAAAGAATTGATGGAGTCTGAATGCAGATTGCAGCATACTATTTTTCACTTTATTTTTTCATGTTTTTTTGTTTGTGTTTTCTTTTATAACATGACTGATATGGAAATATGTTTTACATGATTGCACATATTTAACCTATATTAAGTTGCTTACCATCTCAAGGAGAGAATTTGGAACTCAAAATTTTTTAAAATGAGTGTTAAAAATTGTTTTTACATGTAATTGGGGGAAAACAAAATTTTATTTTAAAATAACAACAATAAACTCATTAGAAATTAGTACAAATAATGTATTTTTATAAAATAACTATATTTTCCAAAACAAATTTAGTGAGAAATGTGGCGTCTTTTTACATATTTTTTGCAAATCTTTTTAATGTCTGGCTTAATAGAAGACAGCTGGATTCTCATATTTGTTCCTGCATTCAATCTGTTGTGATATGTTGTTTTGGTTGAAGTATATGAAGAAAGTACAGACTCATGCAGATATGTAGTTGGAAAAGGGAGGAGCATTTTAATAAGCAAATTACATCTTAGTATTATTAAGAAAATAATTTTGACTTTACAGACCCCCTGCAAGGATCTCAGGGATTCCTAGGGGTCTGCAAATCACAGTTTGAGAACTGCTGGTCTATACTTTCTGTCCTCAGAACTAGACAACTTACAATATGGGGATGTCATGGAACCATATACTCATAGTGTAAGAAGCCTGGAAAGACAGGAAGGGGAAGGTTGTGAAGAAATTTGTATTTGGTCCTGGAAATAACAGGGAGTCTCTGGTGCTTATTGAGTAGTGCGGGGGGAGGTGACACGGTCAGACATATTTTAGGAAAATCATTTTGGCAGCTGAATGGAGGATGGATTGGAATATGGAAAGACTTGAGTCAATAGTCCAGGTGAAAAGTGATGAGAGCCTGCACCAGAGTGGTAATAATATGAATAGAGAGAAGGGAGCATGCATGAGAGATGTTGTGAAGGTAGAAATGAAATGATTTGACAACAGATGTATGGCGTGAGTGAGAATGAGGAGTTGAGGATGGCACTGAGGCTTGGGAGTCTAGGTGATTTGGTAGATGGTGGTACCCTTGACAGTAATAGTAAATTTGGGAAGAAGGGAAAGTTTGGAGGAAAAAAATAATAAGTTCTGTTTTGGATATGTTGAATTTGTGATGACTGTGAAGCATCTAGTTTGAGATATCCAAAAAGCAATTGGTGATATGGGGCTAAAGCTCAGGAAAGAGGCTAAGGCTGGCTATATGGGGCTCTATAGAGATGATAAACGGATTCACATGAGCCAATGAAATCACCAGTTGAGATAGTATAGAAGGAGAAAA